GGACTTACCAGCTTTCCGCAGGGCCTTAAATTAAACCCTACCTTAAATTATGAAGACATCTTATGGCTACCTTCTCAAAACAAATGCATAGATAGATAGATAGATAGATAGATAGATAGATATAGATACACACACACACACACAGATAGATACTCATTGAGCCTTTTGAAATGAAGCATAAAGCTATCTGGTCCGTTCCCAATACATTTTGTGTTTCCTTTGGAAGAACAAGAGGTTATAGATGGGAATTCTGTTGCCGTCATTGTGTAAAATAACTATATTTCTGTCCTCTGTCGCATTCCTGCAGGTCTTCCGCTTTCTAGGGGGTTTCAAAAGCCAAAAACAGGTGACCAGAAGTTTTGGTAGTTCTGTGAGTATACTAGTATAATTTTCTTTACCTTTTAAAGAAGTTTCTCAAGAAAGGGTCTGGGTAGCAAAACAAAACCAAGCTTGTATTATCTTTAGAATTAAATGTGTGTGTGTCACATTTAACTTAAAAACAGGGGTGTCCATATTTTGGGAGAATATCTTACTGAACACTATTAACACTATTTTTTTTAAAAAAAAATTCTCATTCTACACAATTTGAAATTATATCTAAAAGGGGCGTTGATTAAAGATTTTCCCTGGCCCACTTCCTGTCGACTGAGAGCAATGAAACTTGGCCCAGTTGTGAGTCCTTCTCTCCATGTGTGTGACACACACTTCTCCCGTCTACTTAAGCAACTATAAACACATCACTTGTAGAAGTCAACAGGTTGCTCCAAAAGTCACGTTGTGGCTTCGGAAATCAGAGTCTCATCATCTGGAAAATGCTTGTCCTTCAATGAGTACTTCCTCATTCTTTGCATGCTTCCTGGAGATTTTTATGGCCTCGGAAATCAGTTAAATTTGCCTCCCCGCATAAGCGGTACCTAAATTTCCTACTTGACAGATGCAACTGTCTTTCGGGCTGCAAAGGTCGACTTCTCCCATCTTTTTAAGCAACTGTAAACGCCTTGCTTGTAGAAGTCGACAGGTTGCTCCAAAAGCCACGTTGTGACTTCAGAAATCAGAGTTTCATCATCTGAGAAATGATTTCCCTTCAAAAATAACTTCATTCTTGGAAAGAGGTGGAAGTCTGTTGGTGCGAGGTTGGGTGAATCTGGGGGATGCAGTCGAATGTCAAAGCCACAGGAGCATGCTTCTTCTTCCATATGGGCAACAGATGAGTTGTGAACTGCTGCATTGTCTTGCAGAAGGCGGGCACCTTTGGTGAGCATGTCACATTGTCTCTTGGTTTGGATGGCCTCTCACAATTTCCGCAGCAGTGAAACCTAGTCTGCCCCAGTGATCATGGTTCCCTTAGCTACGAAATCCATCCATCCTGCTCCGTGCTGGTCCAAAAATCGTGTGAGCATGACCTTGCCTGCCGAGAGTTGGGCACGTGCCTTCTTTGGAGGCAGTGAGTCAGGATGCTTCCATTGCATCGACTAGGCTTGAGTTTCAAGATCAGAGTGATGGACCCAGATTTCTTCCTGTGTGATCAGTCTGTTGACACTATTACAGGGAAAACCAGCTGATCCCTAACCCATCTAAGACACAGACATGTGCTCTTCATCTCAAGAACAGACAAGCATCCCGAGCTCTGAGGATCACCTGGGAAAGAATCCCACTGGAGCATGTGACATCTGTAGACTGTCCACGTCTCGCAGGCATAGAGCAGGGTTGGGAGGACAATAGCTTTATAAACAAGCACCTTGGTATCCCTACGGATGTCCCAGTCCTCAAACACTCTCTGTTTCATTCGGAAAAATGCTGCACTCGCAGAGCTCAGGCGGTGTTGAATTTCGGTGTCGATGTTGATTTTGGTGGAGAGGTGGCTGCCAAGGGAGCGGAAATGGTCAACATTTTCTAATGTTACACCATTAAGCTGTATTTGTGGCATTGGAGAGGGATTGGCTGGTGACTGCTTTGCCCGGTAGTTTAGACACAATTGCAGCACACTCAAATACCTGGGAGTCACTCTGGACCGTGCTCTTACCTACAAGAAGCACTGTCTGAACATCAAGTAAAAAGTGCTAGAAACAATATCATATGAAAGCTGACTGGCACAACCTGGGGATCACAACCAGATACAGTGAAGACATCTGCCCTTGCTATGCTACTCTGCTGCTGAGTATGCATGCCCAGTGTGGAACACATCTCACCACGCTAAAACAGTGGATGTGGCTCTTAATGAGACATACCACATTATCACGGGGTGTCTGCGCCCTACACCACTGGAGAAATTACACTGTTTAGCCGGTATTGCACCACCTGACATCCGCCGGGAAGTAGCACCAATAGTGAAAGGACCAAGGCAGTGACATCTCCAGCTCATCCCCTGTTTGGGTATCAGCCAGCACGTCAATGACTTAAATCAAGAAATAGTTTTCTAAGATCTACAGAGACACTCGCTGGAACACCTCAGCAAACGAGAGTCCAAAAGTGGCAGGCTCAAACCCAGAACCTCAATCAATGGCTGATACCAAATGAGAGACTCCCCCCTGGGCACACAGAAGACTGGGCGACTTGGAAGGCGCTGAACAAACTGCGCTCTGGCACCACGAGATGCAGAGCCAATCTTAAGAAATGGGGCTACAAAATTGAATCCACGACATGCGAGTGTGGAGAAGAGCAAACCACTGACCACCTGCTGCAATGCAACCTGAGCCCTGCCACATGCACAATGGAGGACCTTCTTGTAGCAACACCAGAGGCACTCCAAGTGGCCAGATACTGGTCAAAGGACATTTAATCAACTACCAAGCTTGCAAACTCTGTTTTGTCTGTTTGTTAAAAATTTGTTTAAAATGTAATACAATTGTCTGGTTGATACTGACACGATAAATAAATAAGTCTGTTGAAAAAGTCCTTCTGGTTTCCATGGCACATCATTGTCAAGAGAGCCTGAGAGCATTCGACTTGTTCCTGCTTCTGGAAAGGTGTGAGCAGTGCCCGGTCCACAAACATTCTCTGCTTCCCAAGAGATTTGCAGGGTTTTCCGGAGGCAGCACTGATGGAATCGTTCCAGGAGTTGCATGTGACGTCTGTAGACTGTCCATGTCTCTCAGGCGTATAGCAGGGTTGGGAGGACAATAGCTTTATAAACAAGCACCTTGGTCTCCCTACGGATGTCCCGCTCCTCAAACACTCTCTGCTTCATTCAGAAAAATGCTGCACTCGCAGAGCTCAAGCGGTGTTGAAGCACCTAACCTATAGAGATTTATATCCTTACACTTGGGCAGTTTCAGTGTAGAAGTGGGTCAGGGGAAATCTTTCATGAACGCCCCTCACAATTAAAATTATCTACTTGATGGCTGGAAAGCATTAGCAAGCCAGGGTGGAAAAAGTTGAGAACCTTCTTACTTTCTGCACCATTATTTTGAATAATGGGCAATATTCTTTTCGCTATCTAGAGTAGAATCCCCTGCTTCTTAGTTCTGAATTTATGTGCTCATTAGATCCATCAAGTATGGATTTTTGGATGTGTGTCAGAATCTCTTCTCGTAATATATTTAGCATTTTCCTTCTCAAATTTGCTTCTATCTCGATCCTGTTGTTGTTTTATCTTGCAATGGATTTATGTTTGATGCATACACAAAAAAAGAGGATAATTGAAATATTTTTTGATGGCAACTATTTCACAGATAGGATCAAAATAAGAAATGTGGCTTAGTTTCCTTGGGCGCATTGGGGGACAGTTCATGAATTAATGAATCTCTATGCCTGGATTAAAAAGGTAGTTAATAAATACAGGTGAATCCATTGTTGTATGGGTTACAATGGCTGAAATAGTGAGAGATTTTCTCACAAAGTCAGGAGATCTCCAAGTATTTATTTATTTACGACATTTATATGCCACTCTTCTCACCCCGAAGGGGACTCAGAGCGGCTTACAAGGTATATATTACATACAATATATTATATTATTAGCTTACTTACTTACTTAGGCCATCCCTCGTTGGACGAGTAAGAGGGTCTTCCATTATGAGTTTCCTATTATTAGCATAGTACACTATCAGCATTAAACATTGCTATATTGCACCATACCACTATATCGTAATATTACATGTAATATTACATGTAATATAAATATATAATTATAATATCATATTGTTATTATTATGTTGCATTACATTATAATATTATAAATATTATATGTATATACAATATATTATTAGAATATAATTATTATATTATATTATTAGAATATAGTTATTTCTTTAGTCAGAACAGCCTTTCAGGACACAACCGCAGTGCAATGACACAACAAGAGAATCAAACCATAAAGAAACGGAAATGGTCACAAAGAGTTTGTAGCTCTTTGTAAATTAGGAAAGGCTAAGAATGAACTAGATAGGATTGTCAGGTGGGTTAAGCAGACTCCTTTACTATTTTTTGCAACATGCCAAACTACAGGTGATTTGTATTTGTCTGTATATCTGTGTTTAATTGTGGCATCCATTTGGGTGATTGTTGTTTTGCCTCCAGGCTCAGACAGTAACTTTGATCCCAGGCGATGGCATCGGACCCGAAATATCAAATGCCGTTATGGAGATTTTTGCTGCTGCAAAGGTAAGCTAACATGGCTGGATTTCTTCATTTGTGAATGAGGGGCAATATTCAGAAGAATGACTGATCTTTTGCTCCAATTATTTATTCTTTATTTATTATTTACAGTATTTATATTCCGCCCTTCTCACCCCACAGGGGACTCAGGGCGGATTACAAGTTCTACAACACTGCTGGTCACAGTTGGCCTCCCGCTGGAGTGCTCAAGGGTTAGGGCTTCCTTAGGCGATCCCTCATTGGCCGAGTAGGATAGTCTTCCAGGATCAGTGTTCTGGTGGGTCCATAGGTAGCTGTGGAACCCTATTCTTGATCTTCATCTTCTCCCGCATTGAGGGCATCGGTTTCCAGGTGGAAGGCGGTCCCGGTCGGGGTTGGCTTGATGTGCTTTCCTCTCTTGGCACGTTTCTCTCTTTCGCCTTCCATTCATGCCTCTTCAAATTCCACATCACTGCTGGTCACATCCGACCTCCACCTGGAGCGCTCAAGGGCCAGGGCTTCCCAGTTCTCAGTGTCTATGCCAGAGTTTTTAAGGTTGGCTTTGAGCCCACCTTTCAATCTCTTTTCCTGTCCACCAACATTCCGTTTTCCGTTCTTGAGCTCGGAGTAGAGCAACTGCTTTGGGAGACGGTGATCAGGCATCTGGACAATGTGGCCGGTTCAGCAGAGTTGATGGCGGAGGACCATGGCTTCAGTGCTGATGGTCTTTGCTTCTTCCAGCATGCTGACATTTGTTCGCGGGATTTGAAGAGATTTGGAGGCAGTGCTGATGGAATCGTTCCAGGAGTTGCATGTGACGTCTGTAGACAGTCCACGTTTCACAGGCGTATAGCAGGGTTGGGAGGACAATAGCTTTATAAACAAGCACCTTGGTATCCCTACGGATGTCCCGGTCCTCAAACACTCTCTGCTTCATTCGGAAAAATGCTGCACTCGCAGAGCTCAGGCGGTGTTTAATTTCAGTGTCAATGTTGACTTTGTGGAGAGGTGGCTGCCAAGGGAGTGGAAATGGTCAACATTTTCTAATGTTACACCATTAAGCTGTATTTGTGGCATTGGAGAGGGATTGGCTGGTGACTGCTTTGCCCGGTAGTTTAGACACAATGAACCTGCATAAGGAAAAGACAAAGTTGGTAGGATTAAATCTATATTGGCATCCCTCCTAGCAGCGAAAGCGAAGCCACATGAACTTCATGGAAAAGGGGATATTCCCTTGGAGACTCCCAACTTAGAAAGCAGGAAAAAGACCCCACGGATTGGTCCAGGTTTTAAAAATAGACCAAGGGCTTCAACGGACATCCTTTTACATGTCAGACCAATTCCAAACCCATGTAATAGTCTTATCCCAATCAGTAGTGAGACATTTTCCAGAAAACTTTGAACTTGGGAAGTCTCCTTTCCCCAAAAGAAATCTGTTTTCAATTTCCGGCTTAACTTGAACTAGCTGTACCTGCCACGGTTTGCTGTGACCAACCTTCCCTCCCTCTTTCTCTCCTTCGTTCGTTTCCTCTTTTTCTTTCCCTTCTTTTTTCCCTTCTTTTTTCCCTTCTTCTTTCCCTTTTTTTCTTCTTCCTCTTACCTCTTTCTTTCCTTCCTTTGCTCTTTGGTTACATCCTTCCTTCTCTCTTTCCTTCCTTCCTTCCCTCCCTCTTTCTCTCTTCCTTCTCTACCTTCCTTCTCTCCTTCCCTCCTTCTTTCCCTATTTCTCTCCTTCTTTTCCTCCTTCCTTCATTCTCCTCTTTTTCTTTCCCTTCTTTTTTCCCTTCTTCTTTCCCTTTTTCTTTCTTCCCTCTCTACCTGTTCTTTCCCTTTCTTTGCTCTTTGGTTACATCCTTCCTTCTCTCTTTCCTTCCTTCCTTCCCTCCCTCTTTCTCTCCTTCCTTCTTTTCCTTCCTCCTTTCACTTTTTTATTTCCTTCTCTCCTTCCTTCCTTCCTTCTCTACCTTCCTTTCCTTCCTTCTCTCCTTCCCTCCTTCTTTCCCTCTTTCTCTCCTTCTTTCTCTCCTTCCTTCATTCCCTCTCTTTCTTTCCCTTCTTTTTTCCCTTCTTCTTTCCCTTTTCCTTTCTTCCCTCTCTACCTGTTTCTTTCCTCCCTTTCTTTGCTCTTTGGTTACATCCTTCCTTCTCTCTTTCCTTCCTTCCTTCCCTCCCTCTTTCTCTCCTTCCTTCCTTTTCCTTCCTTCTTTCACTTTTTTATTTCCTTCCTTCCTTCTTTCTCTACCTTCCTTTCCTTCCTTCTCTCCTTCCCTCCTTCTTTCCCTCTTTCTCTCCTTCTTTCTCTCCTTCCTTCATTCCCTCTCTTTCTTTCCCTTCTTTTTTCCCTTCTCACAGCAACACCAGAGGCACTCCAAGTGGCCTGTTTCTAGTCTAAGGACATTTAGCATAATGCCAGTGTTGTTTTTTTTAAAAAAAAACCCACTTTATTTGTGTTTCTAAATGCATTTTAACTACACCATCGACTTGCTTCTAACATGATAAATAAATAAGAGAAAGATGTTGTAGTGAAATTGCTACTCTATGTTAAAGTTTTGGTGTATAGCTCTATGTTTACATATGGCAGATAGGGAAGAATAGGCACAGACAGGGTAGCAACAGCAGAGATAGGATTCATTTGCATATGGGAAGCCGATTGGTCATATGCAGATTAGTGTAGGCCCAGGATTTGAAAAGGCTGCTAGGCCAAAATGACAATTGGGGAGAGCAGAGCTGAACATTCCAAAGGGGCGGAGCCAAGGTTTTGAAAGAGGCAGTTAGAGTGAGGGAGTTTGAAAATGACAGTTAGGAATCTGTGTGTGAAGAGGAGAGTTGGTTTTTGAGTGCCTGATAGAAATAAGCAGTTATGAAGATGTGTTAAAGATTTCTGATATAGAGAAGCAGTTAGTTAAATAGAGCTCGAGTTTTAAGGAACATAAAGGCTAGTGTTGCCTTAGTTCAGAATATAATTCAGCCAAGAGTGTGTAAAGCAAGTAACATGTTTGTGAATGTGAAACATTGATAGTTTATTCAGGAAAGTTAACCAAGTAAATGATACTGACTGTAAGCCTCAAGATTGCAACAGAACACAAATGTAACCACAAGCGTTGGAGCCAGAAGTTATAAATAAACTGTGTTACTTCGTTATACACAAGAGTGTTTCATTGCCTGTGATATAAAGTACAAAGGTTTAACAGCACACAGAAAGTCCCAGCCAATATAAAAGAAGAAACTGAATCAGTATAAGGTAGCAAAGAGGTTTTTAAAGAGGAAATAGTCTCTCTCTCCCTCACTACAGATGTGTAAACAATATGTATTAATTTTAACATAACTGACAACTGTACTGTTTCAAGAATATACCTGGAAATTTTGATATATTTTAGATTCGACCAGTATTGGGCTTTCACTATCCCGGTTAGTTTATCTTGGTGCTAACCCGTATTCTCCTGCAAAGCTTTCCATTATTCAGCCTAAAAATGCCTGCGTTGGAGACTAGTGCAGGACTGTGTTGTTCCTTTCCAAATCAGCTGAAACATTAATCTGAAACAATTGCGTTTAGGCTCCTGTTCAGTTCGAAGAGCGAAATGTGACTGCTATCCAAGGACCGGGAGGGAAGTGGATGATCCCCCTAGACGCCAAAGAATCCATGGACAAGAACAAGATCGGACTGAAAGGTAACAACAAGGGGAGGCATCCATTCTCACTCCAGGAGCCTAAGGGTGTATTTGCACTGTACAGTTAATGCAGTTTGACACCAATTGAACTGCCATGGCTCAATGTTATGTAGGCTTGGTAGATCCAAAAACAATGGTTCAAAACTCCTTTTGGATGTAGGGGATGCTTGAGTTCGATTCTAAAGTCAATTCCAATTTTCACAGAAAAAAATGTTCAAAACTTTTCAAAACTTCCGAATCCTTTCATTAATGGTTTGAAAGTGTTATTTCCTGTTTCATTGGGTGGTCTTTATTTTGGAAGTAGTTGTTTTACTCCAGAAGCGGGGGGAAACAAGCAGAGGAAATGCCTTCCTTCTCTGGTTTTAAAACTGGCTTCTCTGGCTTGAGCCAAGGCCAGGGACCAGAAGTGGGGAAAAGCAAGCAGAGGAAATTCCTTCCTTCTCTGGTTTAAAACTGGCTTCTCTGGCTTGAGCCGAGGCCAGAGACCAGAAGCGGGGGGAAAGCAAGCAGAGGGAAATTCCTTCCTTCTCTGGTTTAAAACTGGCTTCTCTGGCTTGAGCCGAGGCCAGGGACCAGAAGCGGGGAAAAGCAAGCAGAGGAAATTCCTTCCTTCTCTGGTTCAAAACTGGCTTCTCTGGCTTGAGCCGAGGCCAGAGACCAGAAGGAAAACAACGAGGAAATTCCTTCCTTCTCTGGTTTAAAACTGGCTTCTCTGGCTTGACGAGGCCAGGGACCAGAAGCAGGGAAAAGCAAGCGGAGATTTCTTCCTTCTCTGGCTTTAAAACTGGCTTCTCTGGCTTGAGCCGATGGACCAGAAGAAAAGCAAAAGGAGGAAATTCCTTCCTTCTCTGGTTTAAAACTGGCTTCTCTGGCTTGAGCCGAGGCCAGAGACCAGAAGCGGGGGGAAAGCAAGCAGAGGGAAATTCCTTCCTTCTCTGGTTTAAAACTGGCTTCTCTGGCTTGAGCCGAGGCCAGGGACCAGAAGCGGGGGAAAAGCAAGCGGAGGAAATTCCTTCCTTCTCTGGTTTAAAACTGGCTTCTCTGGCTTGAGCCGAGGCCAGGGACCAGAAGCGGGGAAAAGCAAGCGGAGGAAATTCCTTCCTTCTCTGGTTTAAAACTGGCTTCTCTGGCTTGAGTCGAGGCCAGGGACCAGAAGCAGGGAAAAGCAAGCGGAGGAAATTCCTTCCTTCTCTGGCTTTAAAACTGGCTTCTCTGGCTTGAGCCGAGGCCAGAGACCAGAAGCGGGTGAAAAGCAAGCGGAGGAAATTCCTTCCTTCTCTGGTTTAAAACTGGCTTCTCTGGCTTGAGCCGAGGCCAGGGACCAGAAGCGGGGGAAAAGCAAGCGGAGGAAATTCCTTCCTTCTCTGGTTTAAAACTGGCTTCTCTGGCTTGAGCCGAGGCCAGGGACCAGAAGTGGGGAAAAGCAAGCGGAGGAAATTCCTTCCTTCTCTGGTTTAAAACTGGCTTCTCTGGCTTGAGCCGAGGCCAGGGACCAGAAGTGGGGAAAAGCAAGCGGAGGAAATTCCTTCTTTCTCTGGTTTAAAACTGGCTTCTCTGGCTTGAATCGAGGCCAGGAACCAGAAGCGGGGAAAGCAAGCGGAGGAAATTCCTTCCTTCTCTGGTTTAAAACTGGCTCCTCTGGCTTGAGCCGAGGCCAGGGACCAGAAGTGGGGGAAAGCTGAATCATTTCCGACTCACTTCATGAGTCATAACAAAAATGGCGGAAAAAGCTTTGGAAGGGTAAAGGGACTTCCGGTTTTCTTAAAAACTTCAAAATCGCTTCAAAAAGGTAATTTTTCCGACTTTATTCTGAATTACAAAGATTCCGACGGTACCTAACCATGTGTGTTGCTGCGGACGTACCAATTGTTTCTAGCTGACAATCTTAATGAGGGCTTAATTTTGGGGTAAGGCTTATATGATAATGAGCACCAGGCTACAGCTTATGTTCCAGTTAGGTCTTATTTGGGGGAAAATAGGGAGCCGTGTCAGTCATAATTAAATTCTTTTAAAAAAATATTTTTAATTAGAATAGAAAATTGTTCCAAAGGAAAAAAAAAGCACAATAAAGAGAAGAATACATTGGGTTGTTGTAGGTTTTTCCGGGCTATATGGCCATGTCCTAGAGGCATTTTCTCCTGATGTTTCGCCTGCATCTATGGCAACCATCCTCAGAGGTAGTGAGGTCTGTTGGAAGTAGGAAAATGGGTTATATATCTGTGGAAAATGGGTTATATATCTGTGGTGGGACCAAGGACTTTTGCCTGCTGGAGCTAGGTGTGAATGTTTCAACTGACCACCTTGATTAGCATTTAATGGCTTGGAAGTGCCTGGGGGGAATCTTTTGTTAAGATTTTGTTTCAAGAATACATTGAAAGTATTCAATGTATTCTTGAGCAATTTAATTTTAGGAAAGTAGGAAAAGAAGAAGAGGATTATCTAACCTGCAAAATGGGGAAAAAAGGAAAAAAGCACTTTGTTAAAAAATTAAAAAAAGATGTTAATAAAAACTAGCTGTACCCGCCACGCGTTGCTGTGGCAAACCTTCCCTCCCTCTTTCTCCTCCTTCTTTTTCTCTCTCCTTCCTTCCCTCTCTCTTTCCTTCTTTCCCTCTTTTTCTTTCTCTTCTTCTTTCTTCCTTCTCTACCTGTTTCTTTTCTCGCTTCCTTTGCTGTTTGGTTTCATCCTTCCTTGTCTCTTTCCTTCCTTCCTTCCTTCCTTCCTTTCGTTCCTTCTCTCCTTCCTTCCTTCTTTCACTTTTTTATTTCCTTCTCTCTTTCCTTCCTTCTCTACCTTTCTTTCTTTCCTTCTCTCCTTCTTTCCCTCCTCCTCTCTTTCCTTCCTTCTCTATCTTCCTTTCTTTCTTTCCTTCTCTCCTTCTTTCCCTCCTCTCCCCTTCCTTCCTTCTCTACCCTGCTTTCTTTCTTTCCTTCCCTCTTTCTCTCCCTCCTTCTCTATCTTTCTTTCTTTCCTTCTTTCTCTCCTTCCCTCCTTCTTTCCCTCTTTCTCTCCCCTTCCTTCCTTCTCTACCCTTCTTTCTTTCCTTCCCTCCTTTCCCTCTTTCTCTCCTTCCTTCTCTATCTTCCTTTCTTTCTTTCCTTCTCTCCTTCTTTCCCTCCTCTCCCCTTCCTTCCTTCTCTACCCTGCTTTCTTTCTTTCCTTCCCTCTTTCTCTCCCTCCTTCTCTATCTTTCTTTCTTTACTTCTTTCTCTCCTTCCCTCCTTTCCCTCTTTCTCTCCTTCCTTCTCTATCTTCCTTTCTTTCCTTCTTTCTCTCCTTCCCTCCTTCTTTCCCTCTTTATTTCCCTCTTTCTCTCCTTCCTTCTTTCTCTACCTTTCTTTCTTTCCCTCCTTTCTTCACCCTTTCTGTGTATGTGTTTTGTGTGTGTATACGCATATATGTGTGTTTGTGTATCTATATGTGGTTTTGCACATTTTCTCTAGATTGTGCTCTGGCTGTGTATAAACTCAGTCATAAGTAAATTCTTCATCCTCTCAGATCACAGATTTGACTCTGGTGGCAAATAATGCTTTTCTTAACTCTGGTCTTCTGTCTCGATCGCAGGCCCCTTGAAAACACCGATTGCGGCCGGCCACCCATCGATGAACCTGCTGCTCCGCAAAACTTTTGACCTTTACGCCAATATCCGCCCCTGCGTGTCTATCGAAGGCTACAAAACTCCCTACGCCGATGTTGACATCGTCACGATACGAGAGAACACGGAGGGCGAATACAGTGGGATCGAGCATGTGGTATGGTTTCCTAAACAGCAGCAAGCTAAACCATTCCCTCCCTAGTTCCCCCAACAAGTAATGCACATTATCTGGGCAGAAAACACTTAAATTAACACCAATGTGAGCTGTATTTAATTTTAATGTATGCAGGCATGATTGCTGTTGTTTGTTTTTTAAGTAACTCAGTTTTATATAACTCTCATAACTCCGGTGTGTGCTTTCCAGATTGTTGACGGCGTCGTCCAGAGTATCAAACTCATCACCGAAGACGCCAGCAAGCGTATTGCCGACTTTGCGTTTGAATACGCCAGAAACAATCAGAGAAGCAAAGTGACGGCAGTGCATAAAGCAAACATTATGTACGTCACCCTAACTCTGTAACTTTTTGACAGTTGTTTTCTTCTTGCCCTGCCTGATAAAGCTTTTGATCAGCCAAGTTTTGCCCAAAGTTTAGATTTTATTCATTTACTTTCCTTTTTGGAAAAACACTTACCGTATATACTCGAGTATAAGCTGGGTTTTTCAGCCCTTTTTTTAGGCCGAAAAAGCTCCCCTCGGCTCATACTCGAATCAAAGTTATTAATCTTTATACTCTTATTATTTTTATTACATTTATTATTTTACTCTATTATTATTACATTTACCTTATTTTACTCTATTATTATTATAACATTTATTATTTTACTCTATTTATTATTATTATTACATTTACCTTATTTTACTCTATTATTATTACACTTATTAGTTTACTCTATTCTTATTACATTTACTATTTTATTTTATTGTTATTATCACATCTACTATTTTACTCTATTATCACTCTTATTACATTTCCATTATTTTACTCTATTATTTTATTTTATTATTTTACTCTATTTATTATTGTTATTGCATTTGTTATTTTATTCTATTATTACTGTTATTAAATTTCCATTATTTTACTCTATTGTTATTTTTATTACTGTTATCAGTTTACTCTATTTATTATTATTACATTTATTAATTTACTCAATTATTGTTACTACATTTAATATTTTACTGTATTAGTATTATTGATACATTTATTATTTTACTCTATTATTAGTTATTATTACATTTACAGTATTTTACTCTTTTAGTATTTTAATTTTATCATTTTACTCTATTATTATTATTATTACATTTATTAATTTACTCTATTATTTTTATTACATTTATCATTTTACTCTATAATTATTTTTATTATTACATTTCCATTATCTATTACTGTTATCAGTTTACTCTATTTATTATTATTATTACATTTATTATTTTACTCTTATTATTAATACATTTATTAATTTACTCTATTCTTGTTACTACATTTAATATTTTACTGTATTAACATTATTGATTCATTTATTATTTTACTCTATTATGACTGCTATTATTACATTTCCCTTATTTTACTCTATTATTATTATTATTTTATCATTTTACTCTATTATTATTACATTTATTAATTTACTCTATTATTGTTACTACATTTAATATTTTACTATATTAATATTATTAATACATTTGATGTATTAATGATCAAACCCTGGATGAGGTAGGAGTAGAAAAAGTGCATTTGAGAGGAGCCAAACAAGATGAACAGCGGGGTTAGGCTTTCAGTTTAGGATGGGAAAAATATGTTGGAAGAAGTCCATATAATACACTGTTTGTGTCCCAGCTCGAAACATGAAGCCTGTCGTTACATATTCTTGTGGAAGTAAATCCTATCCCTCTCCTCATCTCTGGATATGCTTCTGATTTATTTTGGATCCTTAATATCCTCCATATTTTTGTTCACGCACAGGCGAATGTCTGACGGCTTGTTCCTGAAGAAATGCAGAGAAGCGGCCGAAAACTGTAAAGATATTAAATTTAATGAAATGTATCTCGACACTGTGTGTCTGAATGTGAGTATATACGAAGCACACAATAAGGGTGTTAGATATAAATATGTCGGCTGGACATGCAAATAGCAACCTTTCTGTTCCTGTATCTTAGATGGTGCAGGATCCAACACAGTTTGATGTCCTTGTGATGCCCAATTTGTACGGTGATATCCTGAGGTAAGTAGGCCTGAGCTGGTATAAGGAAATGTATTTACTTGTTGGCTTATAGTCTCCATTGCCTGCATGTGCAGGTATATATTGGTAAAGGGTCTAACTCAGGCATGGGCAAACTTTGGTCCTCCCTCGAGGTGTTTTCAGCTTATTATTAATTTTTTATTACTGTTATCATTTTACTCTATTTATTATTATTATTGCATTTATTATTTTACTCTATTATTATTACATTTATTAATTTACTCTTATTTAATACGAGGGGTAAAAAAATACCCCTCGTATTAAATGTATACCCCTCGTATTAGAGGGGTATACATTTAATACGAGGGGTATTTTTTAAGTAAGGTCCGTTTTGTTGTAGACAATAGTAGTTCGCTCGAATACCGCAACGAATGCGTGTGTCGTGTACCAGCATGCCTCGGGAACAACTGTGCTCAGTTTCCGCTCTGTAGCTAACCTGTACGGTTCTGTTCTGTGCTTTAAAAATGTTTAAGACTATCAACTCACCCTCCGCATGTGAGGTTCGCTCAGTGATACGGTTTTTGTCAGCAAGGAACCTGCCTGCTGCAGAAATCCATCGACAGATTTGTGAAGTGTACAGTGATACTGTTATGAGTGAAAGCAAAGTGCGTAAGTGGGTACGACAATTCAAAGATGGCCGTGACAACGTCCATGATGAGGACCACTCCGGTCGCCCTTCTTTGATTACAGACGATTTGGTGGCTTCAGTTGAAGCGAGGATTCGTGAGAACAGGTGCTTCACAATAACAGGTCTCTCAAACGAATTTCCTGACGTGTCGAGATCAGTGCTTTACAACATTGTTTCTGAACACCTAAAGTTTAGGAAACTGTGCTCCCATTGGGTCCCGAAACTCCTAACAGAGGACCACAAAAACCAAAGATTTGAGTGTGCGATCAAATCAAATCGTCTGTAATCAAAGAAGGGCGACCGGAGCGGTCCTCATCATGGACGTTGTCACGGCCATCTTTGAATTGTCGTACCCACTTACGCACTTTGCTTTCTCTCATAACAGTATCACCGTACACTTCACAAATCTGTCGATGAATTTCTGCAGCAGGCAGGTTCCTTGCTGACAAAAACCGTATCACTGAGCGAACCTCACATGCGGAGGGTGAGTTGATAGTCTTAAACATTTTTAAAGCACAGAACAGAACCGTACAGGTGAGCTACAGAGCGGAAACTGAGCACAGTTGTTCCCGAGGCATGCCGGTACACGACGCACGCGCTCGTTGCGGTATGCGCGCGAACTACTAGTGTCTACAACAAAACGGACCTTACTTAAAAATACCCCTCGTATTTTACTGTATTTATATTATTAATACATTTATTATTTTACTCTATTATTACTGTTATTACATTTCCATTATTTTACTCTATTATTTTTATTACTTTTATCAAATTACTTTATTATGTTTATTACATTTCTCATTTTACTCTATAATTATTTTTATTATTATTACATTTACAATTCGTCAACTATCGGCCTGTTTCCAATCTTCCCTTTTTGGGCAAAGTCCTGGAACATGTGGTGGCCTCACAACTCCAGGTATTCTTGGTAGACACGGATTATCTGGATCCGGCACAGTCTGGCTTTAGGCCGGGGCATGGTACCGAGACAGCCTTGGTCGCCTTAGTGGATGATCTGCGCAGGGAGCTAGACAGGGGGAGTGTGTCCCTGTTAGTTCTGCTGGACCTCTCAGCGGCCTTCGATACCGTCGACCACGGTATCCTTCTGAGACGCCTCGCGGGAATGGGCCTTGGTGGCACTGTTCTGCAGTGGCTCAGGTCCTTCCTAGAGGATCGTACTCAGAAGGTGGTGCTGGGGGACAACTGCTCGTCCTCACAACCATTGTCTTGTGGGGTCCCGCAGGGTTCAATATTGTCCCCCATGTTGTTTAACATCTACATGAAGCCGTTGGGAGAGATCATCCGGAGTTTCGGGGTGCGGTGTTATCTGTACGCAGATGATGTCCAACTCTGTCACTCCTTTCCACCTACTACTAAGGAGGCTGTTCAGGTCCTGAACCGGTGCTTGGCCGCTGTGTCGGACTGGATGAGGAACAAATTGAAATTGAATCCAGACAAGACAGAGGTACTCCTGGTCAGTCGAAAGGCCGAACAGGGTATAGGGTTACAGCCTGTGTTAGACGGGGTTACACTCCCCCTGAAGACGCAGGTTCGCAGCTTGGGTGTGACCCTGGATTCATCGCTAAGCCTGGAACCCCAGGTCTTGGCGGTATCCAGGGGAGCATTTGCACAATTAAAACTTGTGCGCCAGCTGCGCCCATACCTTGGGAAGTCTGACTTGGCCACAGTAGTCCACGCTCTGGTTACATCCCGCATAGATTACTGCAACGCGCTCTACGTGGGGTTGCCCTTGAAGACTGCCCGGAAGCTTCAGATGGTCCAGCGCTCGGCAGCCAGGTTGCTAACGGGAGCGGCACTCAGGGAGCATACCACTCCTCTGTTGAGCCAGCTCCACTGGCTGCCAATCTGCTACCGGGCACAATTCAAGGTGCTGGCGTTAGCCTATAAAGCCCTAAACGGTTCTGGCCCTACTTACCTCTCCGAACGCATCTCCACCTATGAACCGACTAGGACATTAAGATCGTCCGGGGAGGCCCTGCTCTCGGTCCCGCCTGCGTCACAGGCGCGGTTGGCGGGGACGAGGGACAGGGCCTTCTCGGTGGTGGCCCCTCGGCTATGGAATGCCCTACCTGTAGACATCAGACAGGCCCCTTCGCTGCTGGCGTTCCGGAGGAAGGTTAAGACCTGGCTCTACGAACAAGCGTTTGGCTAAGCAGTGCAACTGAACACAGGAAGACGGTAAAATTGAACATAGGAAATGGTACAAGGATTATGAGAACGGATTCTGATTTGTTATTGAGGCGTTATGATATGATAATGATTGTTTGATTTTGTCTGCTGTATATGATGTGTTTTAATCGCTTAGGATATTGTTGTGATAACCTGTATTGTGTAAACCGCATTGAGTCGCCTAATTAGGCTGAAAAATGTGGTATAGAAATAAAGCAAATAAATAAATAAATTCACATTATTAGTTGAAATCCAAAATACTTGGAGGGAGGGCCGAAGTTGGCCCATTCCTGGTCTAACTGTATTCCCTTATATACTTTTGTTTTCCTTGCAGTGACTTGTGTGCGGGATTGATCGGGGGCCTCGGGGTGACACCAAGCGGGAACATTGGTGCCAACGGAGTGGCCATCTTTGAGTCGGTAAGGCATCAGCGCTGTTTTGGAATGAAATTCTGAACTGAGAATTGAGGTGTTCTACTTAAGGGGTGAGCTCTTGCTGTTAGCCCCAACTTCTGCCAACCTAGCAGTTCGGAAACATGCAAATGTGAGTAGATCAATAGGTACCGCTCTGACAGGAAGGTAATGGCTCTCCATGCAGCCATGCCAGCCACATGACCTTGGAGGCGTCTTCGGACAACACCGGCTCTTTGGCTTAGAAATGGAGATGAGCACCAATCACCAGAATCGGACACAACTGGACTTAATGTTGGGGGAAAACTTTTTCCTTTTACCTACTTGTTACAGAAGTACCGTGTATACTTGAGCTGAGTTTTTCAGCCCTTTTTTAGGATGAAAAAGCTCCCTTGGCTTATACTCAAGTCAAACTTATTTATTATTTTACTCAATTATTATTATTATTATTATTATTATTATTATTACTATTACTATTACATTTACATTATTTTACTCTATTATTATTTTATTAATTTACTCTATTATTATTATTATTATTACATTTATTATTTTATTTTATTAGGCTGAAAAAATCTCCTTGGCTTATACTTGAGTCAAGATTATTTATTATTTTATTCTGTTATTATTATTATTACATTTACATTATTTTACTCTATTACTATTATTTTATTACATGTATTAATTTACTCTATTCTTATTATTATTACATTTATTATTTTATTATATTTATTATTATTTTTTAGACTGAAAAATCTCGAAAAAATCTCCTTGGCTTATACTTGAGTCAAGATTATTTATTATTTTATTCTGTTATTATTATTATTACATTTACATTATTTTACTCTATTACTATTATTTTATTACATGTATTAATTTACTCTATTCTTATTATTATTACATTTATTATTTTATTATATTTATTATTATTTTTTAGACTGAACCTCATCCTCAGCTTATACTCGAGTCAGTTATTTATTATTTTACTCTATTAATTATTATTATTATTATTATTATTATTATTATTATATTACATTATTTTACTCTTATTATTTTTGTTATTACATTTATTAATTTATTCTATTTATTATTACACTATCTTATTATTATTTTATTCCATTATTTTTATTTTTAGGATGAAAAAATCCCCCTTGGTTTACACTTGAGTCAAAGTTATTTATTATTTTGCTCTGCTATTATTATCACTATTAATATTACATTTACATTATTTTACTTTATTATTATTTTTATTACATTTATTAATTTGTTCTATTTATTCTTATTACTAGCCATCCCCCGCCACGCGTTTCTGTGGCCCACATGGGGGTTCTGTGTGGGAGGTTTGGCCCAATTCCATCGTTGGTGGGGTTCAGAATGTTCTTTGATTGTAGGTGAACTATAAATCCCAGCAACTACAACTCCCAAATGACAAAATCATTTTTTTTTGAGGGAAGGACATACATTGGGTTGTTAGGTATCTTGTGGCCAAATTTGGTGTCAATTCGTCCAGTGGTTTTTGAGTTCTGTTAATCCCACAAACGAACATTTTTATTTATATAGACTAGCCAAATCCTGCCACGCATTGCTGTGGCCCACATGGGGGTTCTATGTGCCAAGTTTGGTTCATTTCCATCATTGGTGGAGTTCAGAATGCTCTTTGATTCTAGGTGAACTCTAAATCACAGCTACTGCAACTCCCAAATGTCAAGATTCTATTTTCCCCAAACTCCACCAGTGTTCACATTTGGGTATATTGAGTATTCTTGTAGAGTTTGGTCCAGATCCATCATTGTTTGAGTCCACAGTGATCTCTGGATGTAGGTGAACTACAACTCCAAAACCAAAGGACACTGCTCACCAAACCCTTCCAGTATTTTCTGTTGGTCATGGGAGAACTGTGTGTCAAGTTTGGTTCAGTTCCATCGTTGGTGGGGTTCAGAATACTCTTTGATTGTAGGTGAACTATAAATCCCAGCAACTACAACTCCCAAATGACAAAATCAAATTTTTTTTTTAGTGAAGGACATACATTGGGTTGTTAGGTGTCTTGTGTCCAAATTTGGTGTCAATTCGTCCAGTGGTTTTTGAGTTCTGTTAATCCCACAAACGAACATTACATTTTTATTTATATAGATTATTACATTATCTTTATTATAATTATTTATTTTATTCTATTATTTGATTTGAAGAGCATTGAGTAGCGTGATTTCCTTGCCTTGTAGGTCCACGGCACAGCTCCGGATATTGCCGGGAAGGACTTGGCGAATCCGACGGCGCTCCTCTTGAGTGCGGTGATGATGCTGCGTCACATGGGGTTGCAGGAATACGCCACCAAAATAGAAGACGCCTGCTTCGACACCATTAAAGATGGGAAGGTACATTTTGGCCAGGAATTGCTTGACTTTGGTGATGTGACGATATTGTTTACCTGTGCTCCATAGCTTCCTGCTTGGGCCAACTTCAGCCCTCCCTCCAGGTGTTTTGGACTTCAGTTCCCACAATTCCAAACAGCCAGTAGGTTGTATATCTGCATTTCCCAATCTCGGCTTATACTGGACTCAATAAGTTTTCTAGTTTTTTGTAGTAAAACTAGCGGTCCCTTGCCACGCGTTGCTGTGGCCCAGTCTGTTGATCTGGAAAATCAAGTAATGAGAAAGTGTTGGTTTCTAATATATGAAATGTCTTTATACTTGTGGGTAAACAGTATTTCTTGCTGTTTCTTTGCCAGTGTTGATGTGGAGATTGTCTGGTTTGCCTGCTCTGGAACATGCAATATATAATTGTCCTTCTTTGTATGATGTTGTTTCTAGCGCCCACTTTTTGCTTGATGTCCAGGCAGTGCTTCTTGTAGGTCAGAGCACGGTCCAGAGTGACCCCCAGGTATTTGGGGGTGCTGCAATGCTCCAGTGGGATTCCTTCCTTCCCAGGTGATCCTCAGAGCTCGGGATGCTTGTCTGTTCTTGAGATGAAAAGCACATGTCTGTGTTTTAGATGGATTAGGGATCAGCTGGTTTTCCCTGTAATAGGCAGTAAGAGCACCTAGAGCAGTGTTTCTCAACCTGGGGGTCGGGACCCCTGAGGGGGTCACGAAGGGGTGTCAGAGGGGTCAACAAACACCATCAGAAAACACAGTATTTTCTGTTGCTCTTTCTGGGAAGTTTGGCCCAATTCTATCATAGGTGGGGTTCAGAACGCTCCTTGATTGTAGGTGAACTATAAATCCCAGTATCTACAACTCCCAAATGTCAAAGTCTATTTTCCCCAAACCCCATCAGTGTTCACATTTGGGCATATTGAGTATCCGTGCCAAGTTTGGTCCAGATCCATCATTGTTTGAGCCCACAGTGCTCTCTGGATGTAGGCGAACTACAACTCCCAAACTCAAGGTCAATGCCCACCAAACCCTTCCAGTATTTTCTGTTGATCATGGGAGTTCTCTGTGCCAACTTTGGTTCAATTCCATTGTTGGTGGGGTTCAGAATGCTCTTTGTTTACATGTTAACTATAAATCCCAGCAACTACAACTCCCAAATGACAAAATCAATTTCCCCGCCAACCCCACCAGTATTCAAATTTGGGCATAGTATTTGTGCCAAATTTGCTCCAGTGAATGAAAATACTTCCTGCAGATCATTATTTACATGGCGATTCATAATGTTATGGTTGGGGGTCACCACAACATGATCAGCTGGTTTTCCCTGTAATAGGCAGTAAGAACACCTAGAGCTTCGGAGAGCTTCTGTTCAACCATCTCAAAGCTCCCTGCTTGAGCAGTGATGGCACGATCATCAGCATAGATGAAACTCTCTGTCCCTTCTGGCAGTGGCTGGTCATTTGTGTAGATGTTGAACATGGATGGAGCAAGCACGCTCCCCTGAGGCAGGCCGTTCTTCTGTTTCCGCCATCTGCTTCTCTGGCCCTGGAACTCAACAAAAAAGCTCCTGTTTTGTAGCCGGTTTCCTATGAGGCGGGTGAGGTGGTCGTCCTTTGTGATATTATACATTTTTCTCAGGAGGAGGCGGTGGTTTACGGTATCATAGGCTGCTGACAGGTCTATGAAGACAGCTCCTGTGATCTGCTGCCTTTCAAAGCCATCTTCTATGTGCTGAGGCAGGTTCAGCACTTGCGATGTGCAGCTTTTGCCTTTTCTGAAGCCAGCTTGCTGTGGAATCAGACAGGGGTCTATTTTTTCTGTAATTCTATGCAAAATAAGTCTCTCCAGAACTTTGTAGAGGTGGCACAACAGGGAGATTGGTCTGTAGCTTTTTGGGTCATTACGGTCTTTGCCTGGCTATGCCTCTTGCTTTCCTCCAGATTTTGTGGATCTGACAGGATGCAGTGCAGTTGTTCATCAGCTCCAGCAGCCAGTGCCTTGCTTTTTGGGCCAAAGTATCTTTGACCCAAAGATACTTTGATTATGTTTTCTTGCCCTGGTGAAGAGAGTTGGATTGGATGCAGCATTTCTCAACCTGGGAAGTCATGGGGGTTCTGTGGGAAGTTTGCCCCCATTCTGTCGTTGGTGGGGTTCAGAATGCTCCTTGATTGTAGGTGAAGTATAAATACCAGTAGCTACAACTCCCAACTGTCAAGGACTATTTCCCCCAAATTCCAACCTCAATCAGTATTCACATTTGGCCATATTGAGTATTCATGCCAAGTTTGGTCCAGATCCATCATTGTTTGAGTCCACAGTGCTCTCTAGATGTAGGTGAACTACAACTCCCAAACTCAAGGTCAATGCCCACCAAACCCTTCCCGAATTTTCTGTTGGTCAGGGGAGTCCTGTGTGCCAAGTTTGGTTCAATTCCATCATTGGTGGAGTTCAGAATGCTCTTTGATTATAAGTGAAATATAAATCTCAGAAACTACTACTCCCAAATGACAAAATCATAGTTTTTTGAGTGATGGTCACTCCTTGTGTTGTGGGACGTTTTGTTGCCAAATTTGGTGTGTTTTCGTTCATTGGTTCTTTTGTTTTTAAGGTACTCATTACACACAGAGCATTTATATATATATAGATTAGTTGCCTCGGCTTATATTCGGGTCAGCTTATACTCGATTATATACGGTTAATCAGCCTCGAAACGTAACTTGCCCCCTTTTCTTCTCCCTTTTGCCATTTCAGGTCTTGACCAAAGATTTGGGAGGCAACTCCAAGTGTTCGGAGTTCACCGCAGAGATCTGCCGCAGGGTGAAGTCGGCGGAATAAAAAACAAAAACCTCTTCATATCATAACCGGTTTTCAGTCACTCCTCATTAGCCGTGTCTGCAAATGCGTATCGTTTCGTTTGCCTTTTTCTCATTTGAGAGGAAAGCAAACATTTTAAGCAGGGTCTCTCTTTTTGTTAAATACACTCAGCCCGAGGCATTCTTGTGCCTGCTTTCTTTCTGTGGACATTTCCTTAGTATTTGTCTTCCTTATTTATTACACTCCTCTTGGTAAATAAATTATATCTCTGTTAGCAGATATTGCATGAAATAGTCATCCGGTTACCATTTTCGAGGCAAATTCTGGAAAGACTTCGTGCTAATCATCCCCCAAATAAAAAGAAATGTATTGAGCTTTAAATAAAATCAGGGCAATTTTATTATTTTGTTTGAGCAACCTACTTTCTAGGTTGCTGTGAGTTTTGTGGGCGGTCTGGCCATGTTCCAGAAGCATTCTCTCCTGATGTTTCGCCCACATCTATGGCAGGCATCCTCAGAGGTTGTGAGGTCTGTTGGAAACAAGGCAAGTGGGGTTTATATATCTGTGAAATGATGTCCAGGGTGTGTCAGACTGTAGGATCTATATAGCAATATTAAATAACCACTCACAAGCCGTTTTGCTTTGAAATGGATATATTGCTTGTATCTCTGCAGCAAAGACTTTTTCCCACCACCACTTCCTTTTATACACCTTTCCTGCCCATCTCCCCCTCTTCTTGATTTTAATTTTAATTTTAATGTTTCTTTTACTTGTATATTGTTTTCTAAGGCATTGAATTATTGCCTATGTTGTACGTCGCCTTGAGTCCCCTTTGGGGTCGAGAAAGGCGGGATATAAATATAGTAATAAACAATCTGACTACCAGTATTTTGAAAAACCTAAAATCAGGACAGCAAATAAAGAAAAACTCTCAGAAAACAGGGGAATTCCAGACAGGAAACAATCATAGAATCAAAGAGTTGGAAGAGACCTCATGGGCCATCCAGTCCAACCCCCTGCCAAGAAGCAGGAATATTGCATTCAAATCACCCCTGACAGATGGCCATCCAGCCTCTGTTTAAAAGCTTCCAAAGAAGGAGCCTCCACCACACTCCAGGGCAGAGAGTTCCACTGCTGAACGGCTCTCACAGTCAGGAAGTTCTTCCTAATCTTCAGATGGAATCTCCTCTCTTGTAGTTTGAAGCCATTGTTCGCGTCCTAGTCTCCAAGGAAGCAGAAAACAAGCTTGCTCCCTCCTCCCTGTGGCTTCCTCTCACATATTTATACATGGCTATCATATCTCCTCTCAGCCTTCTCTTCTTCAGGCTAAACATGCCCAGCTCCTTAAGCCGCTCCTCGTAGGGCTTGTTCTCCAGACCCTTGATCATTTGAGTCGCCCTCCTCTGGACACATTCCAGCTTGTCAATATCTCTCTTGAATTGTGGTGCCCAGAATTGGACACAATATTCCAGATGTGGTCTAACCAAAGCAGAATAGAGGGGTAGCATTGCTTCCTTAGATCTAGACACTATGCTCCTATTGATGCAGGCCAAAACACCTCCAGCAAAGGATTCCCCCAGACAGGAAGCAGCCAGGCTATTCCATGCTAAGCAAGCTGGCCAATTGCAACATTCACACTCGCCTCTAACAGACAAGAGTTCTTTCTCCCACCTTGGACATCATTCCACAGATATATATACCCAATTTTCCTAGTTTCCAACAGATAACAGATGCTGCAGAGATACAAGCAATATATCAATTTCAAAGCAAAACAGCTTGTGAGTGGTTATTTAATATTGCTATTTAGATCCTACAGTTTGACACACCCTGGACATCATTCCACAGATATATAAATCCCACTTTCCAAGTTTCCAACAGACCTCACAGCCTCTGAGGGTACCTGCCATAGATGTGGGCGAAACGTCAGGAGAGAATGCTTCTGGAACATGGCCAGACAGCCCGGAAAATTCTCAGCAACCCAGTGATTCTGGCCATGAAAACCTTTGACAACACAGTCTACTTTCCATGTAGGAAGCTCTAGTCAATCTTTTAAAAGCACAAGAAAATAAATACTTCTTTTTTCCCATTGGCATTGTCCTTGGAAAGCTCCGATAAGCACTCTGTAAACTGTGGAAACATGACAGCTATTATAAATCAAATGCCGAAGGAGATACTGTTGAGAACGCACATCCCATTAGACGTTCTTTGCACACTTGGTATCACTTTGCCCTTCGGTGGAAACGATTCCTGTGAATTTGATTGTAGTTTTCAACAGATTTTAAAGCTTTTTTGAATCTAGACAAACACCAAATATATAATTTTGCAAGTTTTTGTATCCAAAGGCCTTTTCTGTTGTACTTGAGGTTATCTAGATAACATAAATATATAGTATATTGTATTATATATTTTATAATATATAATATAATATGCCAACATAAATATATGCATATATATATATATGCATGTATAAATTATATATGCATATATATATGCTATGCATGTGCAATCCATGGTTCTAAATCAGGGGTCCTCTAACTAAGGCCCGCGGGCCAGATACGGCCCTCCAAGGTCATTTACCTGGCCCTCGCTAAGGGTCAACCTAAGTCTGAAGCGACTTGAAAGCACACAACAACAACAACCCTATCTCATCAACCAAAAGCAGGCCCACACTTCCCATTGAAATACTAATAAGTTTATTTTTGTTAAAATTGTTCTTCATTTTAATTATTGTATTGTTTTAAACTTTTTTGCACTACAAATAAGATATGTGCAGTGTGCATAGGAATTTGTTCATTTTTTTCATATTATAATCCAACAGTTTGAGGGACTGTGACCTGGCCCTCTGTTTAAAAAATTTGAGGACCCCTGTTCTAAATGATTCTAAAGTACTTACAAAACTAAAGTTCTGGTGGTGAAAACTAGGGGGCGCTGGTGCTTTGCTTCTACAGTGTTGCTAAAGTTCTGGTGGTGAAAATTTCAGAACTCTAACAAAACTTTCAAAATTTCATTATAAATGGCAGTTCCTAATTGGTTCTGTCATAAAAATCATCGATAATGAAATTTTGAAAGTTTTGTTAGAGTTCCGAAATTTTCACCACCAGATCTTTAGCAACACTGTAGAAGCAAAGCACCAGCACCCCCAAAATTTCATTATAAATGGCAGTTCCTAATTGGTTCTGTCATAAAAATCATCGATAATGAAATTTTGAAAGTTTTGTTAGAGTTCTGAAATTTTCACCACCAGATCTTTAGCAACACTGTAGAAGCAAAGCACCAGCACCCCCAAAATTTCATTATAAATGGCAGTTCCTAATTGGTTCTGTCATAAAAATCATCGATAATGAAATTTTGAAAGTTTTGTTAGAGTTCTGAAATTTTCACCACCATTTGGAAACCATGGATTGCCCATGCCTATTATATATCTGTGGAATGATGTCCAGGGTGGGAGAAAGAACTCTGTCTGTTGGAGGCAGGTGTGAATGTTTGGCTTCTACAGTGCTGCTAAAGTTCTGGTGGTGAAAATTTCAGAACTCTAACAAAACTTTCAAAATTTTGTTATAAATGGCAGTTCTTGGTGACTTTGTTTGCCTAATAGGAACTGCCATTTATAATGAAAGTTTTGTTAGAGTTCTGAAATTTTCACCACCAGAACTTTAGCAACACTGTAGAAGCAAAGCACCAGCGCCCCCTAGTTTTCACCACCAGAATTTTAGTTTTGTAAGTACTTTAGAACCATTTAGAAGCATGGATTGCACATGCCTAATATATGCATATGCATATATATATATATATATATATATATATTCAGTTTACATTGAAGTCCTGCTCTTCAGGGATGATTGGAGTGCATGGCACTCAAAATATATTGATATATTGCAGAGTTAAGGCTAGTTGAGGGACGTGTCGTTGCCACTGAAAAAGGCAACTCTACTTATGTTGACATTTAACCATTCGAATGTATGGGGTGGCATCACTTATTTGTGAGGGACTTTTTCCCCTCGTCTCCCAAACCAAACAGTTAATGAAAGATAACCAAAGGTGAGGAATGATGGTTTCAGAGAAGGAAGAGATTCAGTGAAGCTGTACATCACTTCTAAACGCTGCCTTAGTGAACGAAAATGTACAAATACTTAGCCTGCAAGAGGTCAGAAATCATATTTTGTGCATTATGTTCCTCGACTGATACAAAGAAGTACATTTGGGTACCCAATGGCCACTTGTCGATGCAGCTCCCAGTTGGGCCTCCAAACAACTCAAGAGATAGCAATGAGGAGGCCATCGGTTGTTGTGTGAGTTTTCCAGACTGTCTGACCATGTTCCAGAAGCATTCTCTCCTGACATTTCGCCTGCATCTATGCCAGGCATCCTCAGAGGTTGTGGGGTCTGTTGGGAACTAGGAAAATTGGTTTATATATTAGGCATGTGCAATCCATGGTTCTAAATGGTTCTAAAGTACTTACAAAACTAAAGTTCTGGTGGTGAAAACTAGGGGGCGCTGGTGCTTTGCTTCTACAGTGTTGCTAAAGTTCTGGTGGTGAAAATTTCAGAACTCTAACAAAACTTTCAAAATTTCATTATAAATGGCAGTTCCTAATTGGTTCTGTCATAAAAATACAATAATGAAATTTTGAAAGTTTTGTTAGAGTTCTGAAATTTTCACCACCAGAACTTTAGCAACACTTTAGAAGCAAAGAACTAGTTTCCTAATTGGTTCTGTCATAAAAATCACCAATAATGAAATTTTGAAAGTTTTGTTAGAGTTCTGAAATTTTCACCACCAGAACTTTAGCAACACTATAGAAGCAAAGCACCAGCGCCCCCTAGTTTTCACCACCAGAACTTTAGTTTTGTAAGTACTTTAGAACCATGGATTGCACATGCTAATTATTACCATAGCACAATATTAATATTATATATTACATTGTACTATAACATTATACTGTAATATTAGTAATATTACATTTAATATAAAATATATAATTATAATATATTATTAGTAGTATTACATTGTATTACATTATAAATATATAGATTATATTATATTTTTAATGTATTTTGATGTTATTGTTGTGTTTTTGTTTATGTAAGCCGCTCCGAGTCCCCATTGGAGATATTTATTTTTTTGTCGTGTCAGGAGCAACCTCAGAAACTGCAAGTCGCTTCTGGTGTGAGAGAATTGGCCGTCTGCAAGGACGTTGCCCAGGGGACGCCTGGATGATTTTTTGATGTTTTATCATCCTTGTGGGAGGCTTCTCTCATGTCCCCGCATGAGGAGCTGG